GCAGTGCAGTGCAGTGCAGTGCAGAGTGGAGAGTTTTAAGGCAAAGGGGGTCTAGGGTTGCAGCTCTTCGGCTGAAAGGCACTTTTTTAAGATTGCTGTGTCGCACTGAGGGCAAGATTGCGCAGGCAAGTTTCACGCCGCAATATGGTGAGGATGTCCTGGGGACATCTCAAGATTTTCTTTAACATGGTTTCCTGTAGGGCTGCGTAGGAAGTTTCCCATCCTGACAAGTACAGAGTTTGGCACAGCCTACAAGAGTAAACCCCTATACCTTTGTTTAGGGAAGCGCTACGTGAACCCATACACAAGGGGGACTAAGAATCCTCATACAGAAATCTCAAGGAGCGCTTTGATATGGTCTTCCTTATGGATTTTTTTTCTGAATGTGGTGCTCTCAGCAAATCAATAGTCTGGCCCAAGATGATACAATAGGTGCGCAAAATTCGGGGCAGCCCGAAAAAGACCCTAAGACACCGTAATTTCCATCCTAGGCTCCTTTTTAAAAGGTATTCCACATTTTTAGAAGTTCCCAAATAGTCACCCTCAAGTGTGCTTTAGGGTGAAGGGTTTGTGCCCATGATACCGTACACGGCTCAAGGATTAGCTTAGCTGAGACAGCTTGCCCTCCCCCAAAACCCTAAACAGCCTCTTCCGCGTGCAGGTTTCTCTACTACCTCCGAACACCACACCAAGAGTGGCATCCTCAAATCGCCAGTTGCCTCAATTAATATGGTTTAGGCTTCTGGGGTCTTGGTTTTCGGGCTTGGCGTATTGAGTCTAGGGATTAAGGGTAACTTCCTGCTCCGAAATCCCTGAACCGCAACCAAGCCATGGACGCAGCTACTAAACCTGGGAACGTCGGGCTTTACACCTCAACCCTAAATCTCAACTAATCCTTTCAGATTCGGAATCTCTCACCCCAAAGATTTTGTTGCGGGAGTTCTTTTCCAAGATGCACACTCCAATAACACAAAAACCCTAAGGCCACAAACAATGAACAAACCGACTGGAGTTCCCTGACCGAAGTACCCCCCCCCCACCACACACTATCAAAAGACCCTAAACCCTGAACCCTAAAATAGACTCCGAACCCCAGTGTGGCATGCAGCGCACCCTGACATGTGCGGCTTCCCCAGGATTGTGCCAGACACCATCAGATAGCCTGTCACCGAGCCCACCTGCACAGGATTTAGGGTTTAGGATTTA